AGGGAGAGGGAGAGAGAGATAGAAACATCAATGATGAGAATCACTGATTGGCTGCCTCCTGCATGCCCTGCACTGGGGATTGAGCCTGTAACCCAGACATGTGCCCTGATCAGGAATCGAACCGTGACCTTCTGGTTCATAGGCCGACTCTCAATTACTGAGCAACACCAGCCAGGCAATTCTCTTTTACTTAAAAAAAAAAAAAGGCCCTGGAAAATACTACATTGCAGTAGAGTATACAACCAAAAAAGTAAATCTATTGGTGACAAATCTGTAGTTCTGTATTGTTTTAGAAAAGTCTCCTAAAACTCAGAACATTCTATTTGAAACATATGTGAAAATGTATAGGTTTTAACACTGTTTCCCAGCAGTTCTCACCACACCCTTCCCTCTGGCCAAATTAAAAGGATCATATGACTAATTTGAAGAAAGATATTTATATACACATGCACATATAGACACACATCCATTATTTTCTAACAATGAGAATGACTTATAAGATATTATGGAATATTTTTTTAATGTAGATTGAATACCTAGAGACTTTGAGCATATAGTTGTTCCCTACATTATATGTGTATGTATGTATGTATGTGTAGAGGTTATAAATGTATATATTAATGAACAAATGTTTCAGAAATTAATATTTCATAGTCTTGTATTTTCATAAATTTGACATTTCCAAATTTATGTTTACTTAAAAAGTGGCCTAAGAAAAGATTATAAAATATTTAATGTTATCCATTACGGAACATCTCTTAACAGTTTTAGGAAGATATTTCTTCCTATAAAAAATTTCTATCTTTATACCATTAAGGCTTATCTTCAAATTAAGAGAGAGTAATTCAGTTAATTCCTCCATTCTTGCCTACTCCTTGGTTCAGGAGCTTCTCTGAGTTGAGTTCTTGGGCATACACCACCCAAGGTGAGATCTAGGTCATAATTAAGAATTGGTTTGTTATTCCATTTGAAGAATACTTGTCCAGGTAGACTAAAAGTCACACAGATACATTATACTTCTGCTTTCCTTTCCCTTTCACTCTTTTCCCTACACCTTAGGAGGTCTCTGTCTACTGTCAAAGTAAGAACACTGCCTTTACCCTATGTTCCTGTGATGGTCCACTGTCCTTCTGATAGAGTTCAACTGTGAGAGTCCCTTCCAATGGGGGATCAAGTATTTTTATTTACATGGAGAAGTTGGGAAGGAAAGGATTATGTGGTGAAACACAATATCTACACACTTCATAAACATATGTACACACTCTAACTAATCTATCAATCACAAATAAAATACTAGACAGTGGAAACTAGTCAATGGGGCTTTTCATTCTCTATTTTTCTGGGAATGTCCCACACGCAAGAGCTTAAGTGCCAGTGAGCCCACAGCACAGTTTGGCAATGGTGAGAAAAGGGCCATGAGAGATCTCTTGGATTGATTTTGTAGTCACTTCTGTTTGCCATTTTCTAATCTAAGTAAGCAAGCAAGCATGGAAATACTCTACTTTTAAATTAATGTTGGGGTAAGTATTGCTAAATCCAGACATTAGACAAAGGAAGTCATAAATATTGTGGGAAAGTGAGATTGCGTCAAAGGGTAGAATCTGGCCTAAATATTAATGAAAAAGATGATGCTCATTTCAGGGCACATGTTCATTCAGGCTGGTTGAAAACTTCCCTCAATATAATTTAAAACAGGTGCTTGATGAAATACAAAAAAAATTCCATGTTTCCATATGCAAATCTACAAACTCCCAGAAATGCATTTGAAGTATATTTTTAAATATTCATGACAAGGCAATGTTTTATCAAGCAACTGAAAATCAATTTTGATCTTCATTAGCTGGGTGGAGGGGGTTTGGTGGGGGTGTGGAGGGATTGAGCAAAAGAGAAAAAAACTCACGAACATGAAAAATAGTGTGGTAATTGCAGAGGGATGGAGGGGGGCTGAGAGAGGTGGAGAAGGGTATAGGGAGGATAATGGTGATGGGAGGAGACTTGACTTGGGGTGGTGAACACACCATACAGTGTACAGATAAGCTGTTATGAAATTGTGCACCTGAAACCTGTATAACTTCATTAACCAGTGTCTTCTCAATAAATTCAATAAAAAGGGAAAAATTAAAATTAAAAATTAAAAAGTGATTAATGGTTGCAGAGATTTCTTTTAGAGATATCACAGAATTGGAAAGCAGCTTAAATTTAGCCTGTAATTTTTTACTAGGGGAACCAAAATTAGATCATCAGAGAAGATGAGTTGTTGTTTTTTTTAAACCAAAGCCGACCATGGATCTCTATTAGGATGGCATCACTAATTTCAAATTTCTCAAGTAAATAATCAGGAGGAAATCTTAGGAACTGAAGAGCAAAATTTTCAGAGTTCTGCTGGGCTCTTTGGAAAAGTCTCAACTTTGCCTGAAACTGGGCCTGATGAATCATTACTCTTAGATTCTTAGTTTCTAGAGAAAAATCTATTTAAAAAAATATATATTTTATTGATTTCTTACAGAGAGGAAGGGAGAGGGATAGAGAGTTAGAAACATCGATGAGAGAGAAACATCGATCAGCTGCCTCTTGCACACTCCCCACTGGGTATGTGTCTGCAACCAAGGTACATGCCCTTGACCGGAATCGAACCTGGGACCCTTGAGTCCGCAGGCTGACGCTCTATCCATTGAGCCAAACCGGTTAGGGTGGAAAATCTATTTTTAAAGTAGAGAAACATTTGAAGAATGTGAAAGACTCAAAAATTACTTTAAACCCACCAGTTTAAAACAAAGCAATGATCCTCTCAGCGACTTCAAGAATGTGGGAACATCATTTTATCATGTTTTAGGGTTCCCAGCTACTACAAGGGAATTGATTCTCTCTTTCCCTTTACACTAATGAGATAAATTCTATGTTTTTATTCATGTCCTTTCCCCCCCTACATCAGCTACTGCTAGGCAAAGACAGAATCATGCTCTTCAGAGATTTAACCTAATGGGGAATTCACATGTACTTGTTAGCTATAATACGTCTGTTATCTCAAATCTGACTGCACTGGGCACTGATGGCCAGATGCCGTGACAATGAACTGCTAACAGTTGTTTCCTGCCTCAGACTCAGACGAGAATATGGATCTAAACACATTCACCGCATGTTCTCTCATGCATCCCTGAAGTGAAGCGAAAATGATAAAAATAAAATTATGCTATATCTATAGATTGGTCAAAGTGGTTTGGCTAGCGTCTGTAATTAAATTCCAGTTCATGAACAAACCTCTTTGTATAATGTAACAGTCAATGCACAGATAGATATTATTCACAGAAAAATTGTCAGTAGGGTAGTATTGGAAACGAGAGGAAAAGGAATATAATTTTAAAAGAACTGTCCATCCTTCCCTATTGAAACCACTTAGTAAATATTCATTTCTTCTCATGAAAGATAGAAACATGCAGAGTGTCTTTAAACATGCAAGGTACATTGTTGCATTCCAACCCAGCTGGTCTTTGTCAGTCTCAAACAGCTCAGCACGTGCAGACTTGAGTCCATTAGGCGTCCTTTTACACGCACGCACTGTGTTTTCACTTTTGTGACAGCATTACCCCTTTAAAACGCAAAACAATCAACAAGCAAAGCACAAAAACCACCTCATTTCGCAACAGTCGTTCTCCTACTACACAGCGGATAGTAGATATAAAATGTGAGACAGTACAAAGATCACACTAAAATAAAGATATTACCTTTTGCCCTGGACGACCAGATTCTCCAGGTTCTCCCTGACCAAAGAAAGCCAAAGATGAAAAGGACAGTCTTACAAGAATTTTCCAAAACCCTTATGCCTCTGGACACTCTCACAGAGATGGCCCAGCCTCCTTGATCACATATATTTCATTTATTTTATTCTGTTACTCTACATCTCACTACACACAGGAAATGCTTTTTTTTTTTTTTTTTTGCTGTGAATATACCTAAAGCTCACATCCAAATCCACATTTCCATAAAAACCAATCAGAAAGGGAAGAGAAGGCCAGACCTCTTACTAAGCCTTTATCAGATTTCCAGCAGATACTTCCTGTTGTATTTGGAGGCTGATCATTGCAGGAGAATAGGAACAGTTATAACCATCAGTGGTGGTAAAAGAGAAGAGAAAGCAGAGGCTTATAAAAATAAAAACTGTAACTCCTGGGGAACACACTCTTGCAAGGTTAGGGTTACCTTAATTCCTGCAGCAGATGATCCAGGGTCACCCTAAAATAAAATCCATGAGAGATTATTCCACAAATTATGGGAACAGGAAACACACAAGTACACAGAGAGCCATTATCGACAGGGGCACTCAAGGGAACCCCATGACTAATGGGCTTAACTAGGCTCCCTAAGACTTTGTATCAATCTGTCAGCTGTTAAGATGTCAACAATTTCCAAGATAAACAATGTACTTTCTAAAAACATGGGTTTACTTTGAATGCAAAATACATAAGGACCATTATATTTTTGGAAATTACAAATATATAAATAAGGGCCTTCCCCTTGATCTACTGCTAAAATTGTGTTCTAAAGCAGTACATTATAATTTTGGGGATCTGGAATTTTGGTTTTCTCTGTTTCTGGAATTTATTAATGTCAATGGCTATCATTTAGTGGGAGTTCCCTGACCCTTCCAGTCTTCAGAAAGTCAGGGTTCAACAGATGAAGTCAAGGGTTAATGACGCTGTGCTGGAAAAAGCCACGCAGCAGGTCAGCTTGTCTCCCCTTGAAGCATTGTCCCAGTTAGGACCGGCACGTTTTTTCCAGCTTTACACTTATTTCATTGTAACCCAGTCACCGGAAAGTTACAGGATGATGAATGGCTTGTGGGTGACAGGGACACATGGAAGATCTGAGAGAAAATGTTGAGATAGAATCTGGTTTTCTAAAAGGCACTGTATTCCATCCGGATTTCACAGAGGGTGTCTGCATTTCGAGAGCAAATATGTTATAAATGAGCAGATAGGGATGAGTGGAAATGACCGTGGAGGATAGCTGAGAATGCTGCCTTTTCTGAAATGAGGCCAGCAAAGGGCCGGCATTTTCAAGCTCCTTGTAGTCCTCCGTCCCATGAACACAAAGGGAGAAAACTTAGTTTCTTGAGACTGTTACGAAAATGGAAATAGCCACAAGGGAGAAAGGCACACATTGGGATTTCCTCAGCTGTTCTAGCTGTGCAAGTGCTCAAGGAGCTCTGGGGTCTATTTCCTCATTCTAGGGTTAGGAAGCTGCTCATCAATCTCATTCAGAGACAGAGAGAGATAAGGCTCAGGTCTCTGCATGTTCACATGGAGCACTTGTCCCCTCTCTTATTCTTACCTCCTCTCACCTCCTCCTGTGGCTGGCACCTTCTCTTTCTTTGGATCTTGGCTGAAGTGGCTTTGCCACAAATAACCCTTCACCAACTAATCAACCAACCAACCAGCCAACCAAATGATATGTTTGATACACATATGGTGAATGAACAAATCTCAAAACAGAATATTTTAAGCAGATCAGAAGTCAAGAACCAAAATGAAAAAAAAATTTTAGGAAGGGAAAAAAACTTAGGAAGGAGACTGAAAATAATAAATTAGCTTATTGAAGAAACTGATATATATACTAGAGGCCCGGTGCATGAAAATTCATGCACTGGAGGGGGGGGTCCCTCAACTCGGCCTGCCCCCTCTCACAGTGCGGAGCCCTCAGGGGTGGGAGGCGATCCGGCGATCAGGGGAAGGCAATGCCCCATCACACCTCTGCTGCTGCCACTGCTGGCAGTGCAAACCTCGACCGGCCCTGGTTACCTGAGCCTCAGGCGGCCCTGGGCGGCTGGGCAGCCACCATCTGAGGCTCCCTGTGCCTTGGGCCGGCCCTGGGTGGCTGGGGTGCTGAGGACTGGGGGACTCTGGAGGCAGGTGTGTGGCAAGACCAAGGGGACTGGGCGCCGCCATCTTGTGGCTATGGGTGCTGCCATCTTTGAAGGCGTGTCAGTCAATTAGCATATTCCCTCTTTATTGGCTGTGAGTGCCGCCATCTCTGAGGGTGTGACAGTCAATTAGCATATTCCCTCCTTATTGGCTGTGGGCACCACCATCTTTGCAGCCCGCTGCTCAGTCATTTAGTTGTCCCTCACTAACCCCCCTGCCGGCCTGGTCGCCCCACACAGCCTGTTCGATCATCTGTTCAGTTGTGACGGTCACTTAGGCTTTTATATAGAGAGATATATGTGAGTTTCTTTGACATCTGTAATTTGTATTAGCCAAGGAAAAAATTAAACCATGATGAAACATAAAAAAAGACCCCAAATATTATAGAATGACAATGATTTTTCTTCCCAATCATTAACAATCAATTGAGCTCTAATGGGAAGTGAAATAAATGTGGCTAATAACACTTATATGTATTTCTACTAAATCAAGTCTGAAAGCTATCAACACAAATGAATCAATTTTGCAAGATTTTGCACAAGACCTTTGTATTCATAAAAGCAACTTTGACTTGGCTAAGACCCCTCTTTCATCTCATTTAGACCTCACAAAACTCCCATGATTTAGGGCAGATATTACTATATTCATTTAATAGGTGAGGAAATTGAAGCAACTAGAGACTACGTGAATTTTGGGCTTCCTAAATTCTATTGTCATAAGAGAAGTATTGGTTTATTTTATTTTGACAATATGATATAAAGGTTATAGTAAACTGTAAATAAAGTTGCTTGTATTAACTGTAGGTTAAATACATTTTTCAGTGTTTTAACAGAAAGTGGCTAGATAATCTGCTAATGAGAAAAAAGACTAGATTTAGTTCTCAGAAAGTGGATGGAAAAACAAAAAAGACAGTTCTCCAAAAGACTGATTTATTTGTGGGAATTGGAGCAGTTTCATTTGTTGGACAACTATGAGTGATATTTTAATCCTCTTAAAAAATTAGAACTGTAAAATTTCAAGGAATTTTTATATCTTTTAAGTGGCAAAGTAACTGCTGGAAGACATTCATAAGTTAAACATTTTAAAGGATAATGCCGCAAGTAGTGGGAAGAAAAGTCAGTGTTTATAATCCTCATTCCTCTAACAGTGAAAATGAATACAGGATTCAATTAGGGAAAAAAAACCTGTGCATTAAGTATACTCTTAGCTTTATAAATTGGTTTGGAAACAGAAGTTTTCATGGGGTAAGTCATAAATGGGGAAAATACTTTTAGAAGATACTTGAGGTAAATGAATTTGACTTCAGTATTTTTCATTCAAGCACATAGAGTTATTTTCAGTTGTGATTATTTTCAAACACAAAATTCAGTATATAATTATATGTATGTGTTAATAAAGTCTATGTGGGTATATAAAGTGAATGTGGCCATATTTCTGTCATTCATTTAATAAATATCTATTGAGCACCAGTTATGTGCCAGCCATGTTCTAGATGCAGGGATGCTAGGAGCTGGGTGACAACAGTGAACAATGTAGTTGCAATCCCCGCATTCACTTACACATGTATACAAAAATATCACTGATTGAAAGCACCAAAGATACTTTCTTTTCATTTAAATAAAAAAAAATCTGGGATAGGAAGAGATTCTCAGGTTTGGAAATGTCTGTGTCACTGTAAATACACAGAAGACATGATACACAAATGCACAGCACAGGAAAAAGTTCTCCCATTCAGTGAAAATAAGAAACAGCTGAAAGCAACAACAACAAAAATAGTTTTTTAAAGATTATTCATTCAATAACTATTTGTTCTCTTCCAGGAACTTGGACTGGTGCTAGAAATAGAACAATTTGGTATCATATAGTTTTTTCATGGTTTGTGTTTTCTTTTTCAGTGAGCGGAATGTCCAATTAAACAAAGAATTAAATAAATTGTGGTACAGGTTCTGAAAGGGATCATAAGGAGGGCTGTGGGAGAACAGTAGGCAACCTAACCGATTCAGAGGAGACTGGAAGGCTGCCCCAGGGAAACGACATAAATTCAGGTTTCAGTGGCCTGAAGAATAGGATTAGGAGCTGGAGGTGGAGGTGGACAGAGCAAGAGTGTCCTAAGCCAGGGGTGGGCAAACTTTTTGACTCGAGGGCCACAATGGGTTCTTAAACTGGACCGGAGGGCCGGAACAAAAGCATGGGTGGAGTGTTTGTGTGAACTAATATAAATTCAAAGTAAACATCATTACATAAAAGGGTACGGTCTTTTTTTTTTTTTTTAGTTTTATTCATTTCAAACGGGCCGCATCCGGCCCGAGGGCCGTAGTTTGCCCACGGCTGGTCCTAAGCTATAGGAGTCAGATGTGCCCGGTCAGAGAAGACTCTGCATTGATCGGGGGTGGGAGCACCCACTGGGATAGCCCTTTACCCGTGGTTTTAAGTAAAGATGACAATGTGCTTGGTGGTTCCAAATAAGAGTGTGGCTTCTGCAGCGGCTCAAGGGTTGTAAATCACAGACGTTAGGTAGCCATACACCAAGAAGGCAGTGTGTTTACGGGAATGGAGATGGGGGAGCAAAGAGCATGAAGGCGGAGCTTCTGCACCCACAGATAAAATTGCAAACAAAAGAGTGGCACCGCCAAGCCATCCAGTGCGCCACACAAACGTCTACTTTCAGGTGGAGGGAAACAGATAAGAAACCCATTTCCACTTTTGTTGGTGGGATCAATACTCCGAAGAGCAGAACACAGCCCTCCCAGAGTAACCCCACACATGACTGAAACCAGTTTCTGGCAGGTCATTCTTAAACCTGGAGTGCACCACACTCGCTGGCCACGGGGACGCCCTGCCCAGTGGTTTTATAGCTGCACAGCATTTCCAGATGACCAGTCTGGAATGGCTTAGATTGCTTTCCCATCCAAAGGCACCGAGTTGGATCAAAAGGGGAAAAAAATCCTATTAAAGTGAATCAGTCCATGACGTAATTTTTACTACATCAATGGCAGAAACGAAGCATTTTTTGATTTTACATCTCAAACTTGGTATATGATGAATTAGTTTCACATACTAAACCCAAAGGCCATGAGAAGAGTGTTTCCAACATGCTGGAAACAAATTATGTGACAGAAGCAGGAAATGTTTAAAAAACACATCAAAAATTATATTCCAATTACAGCATTCTCGGGGATGAATGCTGCAGGTCAGATTACATATTATACGCTACAGATTCCTATTTACAATTCCCTGTTTAGACCCATTGCAAGTTTATAGAAATGATTTCCGTTTTAACTGAAGCATTTCTTGCACTTAATTTCAGTTGACTAATAAAACTTCTTGATAAAAAAGAAAAACAACCAATCTAGTTGATTTCAATTTCCATGTGGTAAGAAAGCTAACATTTATTGAGAGTTTACTATGTGTGAGTCAGTATGGTAAATGATTTGCATTAATATAAAAAGTACGAACAGTATTCCTTTGAGATGAACATGGTCTTGTAAAAGAAAAAAGTTCCTTTACTATTGGAAAATTACATTTAAAAAATGTGTGATTAAAGAAACAATTACTGGCCTATATTCCAAAAATGAAGCTTTAAAAGTATATCTTCTGAAGCATAAAAGTCTGTACCTAAGTTCACATAGGCGTAGTTCAGACTTGGCATAATTTTTTTTTTAACTTGAAGAAACTGCTCTCTGTTTAGAAGATTTCCTGTCTTTAAACTGAGGTGGCAACTATGGCCCAAGGGCCAGATCAGCTACCCACCTGTTCCTGTATAGCCCATGAGCTAAGAATGGATTTTATATTTTATATAGCTTTAAAAAATCAACAATAACACTTCACAATACATGAAAATTTCACCAATTAAGATTTCAGCATCCAAAGTTAAAAAGTATAGGGCACGGCCATACTCATTTGTGTATCTATTGTCTACGGGTGCTGGCACACTACAGCGACAGAGTTGAGTAGTTGTGACAGAGGTCATCTGGCCCACAAAACCTAAATATTAATTTCCTGGCCCTTTATAAGAAAAGTTTGCTAATTTCTGCTTCTAAGCAAAACAAGCAAAGTTAAATATAACACAGGTTTACGTATCTAGGGTTTGAAACTTTGACTTCGAGAATCATCGAGGTATATCATCGTTCTCATTAGTATTAAATATATTCATGTCATATTTGATTTCAGCATGATACTTAAATTTGGCAGGTAAATAGAATGGGCCTACATCAGTGATTCACAACTAGGGGTAATTTTGTCTTTAGGGAACATTTGGCAACGTCTTGAGATGGTCTTGGTTGTCACAACTCAAGGATGCTACTGGCATGTGGTGGGCAGAGCCAGGAATGATGCTAAACATCCAACAGTCCCCACAACAATGATCTGGTCTTGTCAGTTGTGCTGAGGCTGGGAAACCCCAACCTCCAAGAAGTTGAGAGTCTACCCTAATGGCTAGACTGCTCCATGAATACAAACATTCCTGCTACTTGGTGACATTAATTCATTCCTATCACCGTGCCATAGTTATATTAATATTTATAAGAATGAGAAAGGTAAAATTCTCTTTATTTTATGGGTATGTTTTTATGAGTAACCATTACCCATCTGTATTGCAATAATTTCCAAAGTGGAATGTTCTTATTCTGAACTATAAGCCTAAATAAATAATACAGTTCTTTTTTTCAGTACTCAACTAATTTAGGTTGATTTAAATTAAAATATGACTGATATTTATTCTCAGTTTCTTAAAAAAGATATTTTCCTTCATTCTTAACAGATAGCACAAGAGGAATAAAATATCCGCCTTATGCCAGAGATGTCTGTCAGTCTGAACTGAGGCAAAAGCTGCCATGATTATTGGAGGGAAAAGAGAGGGAGTAGGAAGATGAGCCACAAGACCACTATACTATGAACTGTTTAAAAGACCAAAAATAATGACAAAATATCCGGATTGAGTCATTTCAAGTTGAGGCAAATCTTTGACTGCATTCGAGAGTCTAATCAAGTGACATTTACTCTCAAACTTTTAAATCTCACCCCAATCCTCTGATGTGTTTTCTCCTAACATTGTGACAAACAGAATCACTTTAGAAATTCTATTTGTATATCTGCAGATAAAGGGCGTGTGCCCTTTACACATGAATAAGTGTTTTTATTCCTTGAAAGCCTGGAAACCTAGCTATACATTTTCTGAAATTTGTGACATACCATTTTATGTTTAAAATATTTAAATTTGGGGAGAGACCAAGATGGCGGCATAGGTAGACACCGGAGACTGCTGCCGCAAACAACCACTTCAAAAATACAACTAAAGGACGGAACGGACATCACCCAGAACCACAGGAAGGCTGGCTGAGGAGAGACTCCTTTAAAAAATCAACAATAACACTTCACAATACATGAAAATTTCACCAATTAAGATTTCAGCATCCAAAGTTAAAAAGTATAGGGCACGGCCATACTCATTTGTGTATCTATTGTCTACGGGTGCTGGCACACTACAGCGACAGAGTTGAGTAGTTGTGACAGAGGTCATCTGGCCCACAAAACCTAAATATTAATTTCCTGGCCCTTTATAAGAAAAGTTTGCTAATTTCTGCTTCTAAGCAAAACAAGCAAAGTTAAATATAACACAGGTTTACGTATCTAGGGTTTGAAACTTTGACTTCGAGAATCATCGAGGTATATCATCGTTCTCATTAGTATTAAATATATTCATGTCATATTTGATTTCAGCATGATACTTAAATTTGGCAGGTAAATAGAATGGGCCTACATCAGTGATTCACAACTAGGGGTAATTTTGTCTTTAGGGAACATTTGGCAACGTCTTGAGATGGTCTTGGTTGTCACAACTCAAGGATGCTACTGGCATGTGGTGGGCAGAGCCAGGAATGATGCTAAACATCCAACAGTCCCCACAACAATGATCTGGTCTTGTCAGTTGTGCTGAGGCTGGGAAACCCCAACCTCCAAGAAGTTGAGAGTCTACCCTAATGGCTAGACTGCTCCATGAATACAAACATTCCTGCTACTTGGTGACATTAATTCATTCCTATCACCGTGCCATAGTTATATTAATATTTATAAGAATGAGAAAGGTAAAATTCTCTTTATTTTATGGGTATGTTTTTATGAGTAACCATTACCCATCTGTATTGCAATAATTTCCAAAGTGGAATGTTCTTATTCTGAACTATAAGCCTAAATAAATAATACAGTTCTTTTTTTCAGTACTCAACTAATTTAGGTTGATTTAAATTAAAATATGACTGATATTTATTCTCAGTTTCTTAAAAAAGATATTTTCCTTCATTCTTAACAGATAGCACAAGAGGAATAAAATATCCGCCTTATGCCAGAGATGTCTGTCAGTCTGAACTGAGGCAAAAGCTGCCATGATTATTGGAGGGAAAAGAGAGGGAGTAGGAAGATGAGCCACAAGACCACTATACTATGAACTGTTTAAAAGACCAAAAATAATGACAAAATATCCGGATTGAGTCATTTTAAGTTGAGGCAAATCTTTGACTGCATTCGAGAGTCTAATCAAGTGACATTTACTCTCAAACTTTTAAATCTCACCCCAATCCTCTGATGTGTTTTCTCCTAACATTGTGACAAACAGAATCACTTTAGAAATTCTATTTGTATATCTGCAGATAAAGGGCGTGTGCCCTTTACACATGAATAAGTGTTTTTATTCCTTGAAAGCCTGGAAACCTAGCTATACATTTTCTGAAATTTGTGACATACCATTTTATGTTTAAAATATTTAAATTTATAGCTAGGAGCTTGAGGAATAATCACCTTTTATATATTAAATATTTAAATGTTTTCTAAATTTGTAGAATTTTCTATTTTCTTATGAAACAAAGATACTACCATTCACGTATCTTTTTCAAAATTTCCCATTTTCATATATACAGAATACTCTTTCTTGCTCATACACATACTCTTTTGTATTTGCCAACACTGTACCTTTTCGCCCGCATCACCTTTGGGACCACTCTCGCCAGCATCTCCCTAAGAGGGGGAAAAAAGCGATACATGTAAAATACATTGGTGACATTATACAAAGAGGATTTTCCATTATTTTAAGTTTTCTTTCAAAAGCACCATATATTAAAATCTGTGGCAAATGTTCTACTTGAGCAGCTGACTGATATCACTGATCTAAATAGTTTTTTTACATTGAACATGGCTGAGCAGTTTTAAATTACTCCATGATATTAATGAAAAGCAGCAATTTCTCTGACTTCTAGTAGCTTATCCTGGCACTTAAAGCTTCCTTTACTCGACCTCTTTCTCCTGCTCAAAACTCCACTGTAACACAGACTTTCTCCTGACTGTTCCCTCAATATGCCACATGCCTCACCAACTCTGTGCCTATCCCGCCACCTGGACCCCTGACTCGCCCTTTCCCTTTGATCTGTCTGAATCCCACTCTTGTCTTGAAGCCCATCTCAAATCTCCAGGGCCTCAAAGTGCATGAGCCAGCCCTCAAGACCTGTGCCCTGAATATCGGGCTTATCTCTACTTACATGTTTTGCATTTGTGAAGTAAATGTTTTTGATTTTGTTACAAAACTGCTTTTTTAAATCAAAACTTGGGGAGTTTATGTTTCCTTGGTTATTTTTGAGATTTCCTATGCCTGTTCCCTCACTAACATCTCCTTTCTATCCACAAAGCAATGCATTAGAAAAAAAAAAGTCAGCTGTTTATTACCCATGCTTTGCTTCCTTAAATTCTGAATTCGTAGCAGTTATGGTGGGAAATATCATGGATTTGGAGCCAGAGAGACTAAGCCCAACTCCAAAACTGACTGGGCAAATGAAATTTTCTATGCATCGTATTTTTCATGTGTGACATAAGGGCAAGAATACTTTATGGGGTGGTAAGAAATAAACAATGTACCGTGTGTAAAGCAACTAGGACAGTCTCTGACACAAGCTGTTAGCAACAACAATGCATTATTGTTCTTGCACTCCATAAGCCCTCTGTCTGTCTTCAGAAGAGGTCACTTTTTTTTCACTTAAAAATTTCCTTAAAATAAGAGAGAAACTATTGATGACTGTTTCCCTGAGAGAAGGAGGGGTGGCGAGGGAGGAAGACTTTTTTTTTCTCTCTAGCGTCTTTTCTTGTTTCATAAGCATGACACTAACCTGCTCAGGCCTTTGTCTGGTGACGGATACCCCACTGCAGCCTGGGAGCCTGAGCTACTTTATCTGAGGAGCCGGGATGGTGCTGGCTCTGCCCCTCTTTCCTCCTGAGTGTCCACACAAAAGAGTCATCAGGTGACTAATTAACTTCAAGTTAATGACCACGAACTGGCTGGATGCCATGTAAATGTGCTGATAATCTGTTATGAGGGACCTCAATAGGCAGCATACTTAAAAAATTGCTTGGAAATCCCTTTATTAAAAAACGAAAGCAAAGAAAACTGGGCTCTAAGGAGAACAGTGTGGTGGCAATTTAATGTCTTGGGCAGTTTTTTAGTCCAGGACTTTGTATTCTGCCCAAACTCAGCATCAGTAAGGTGGGTGAGCACATCCTTGCACGAAGTCTTTATTCAAAGCAGCCCCTGGTACATGGACTATTTCAGGGATTCAGAGTCCCCGTGTAGTTCTGTCTTCTCCTACGAAAAAAAAAAGTCAGCTGTTTATTACCCATGCTTTGCTTCCTTAAATTCTGAATTCGTAGCATGTTATGGTGGAAATATCATGGATTTGGAGCCAGAGAGACTAAGCCCAACTCCAAAACTGACTGGGCAAATGAAATTTTCTATGCATCGTATTTTTCATGTGTGACATAAGGGCAAGAATACTTTATGGGGTGGTAAGAAATAAACAATGTACTGTGTGTAAAGCAACTAGGACAGTCTCTGACACAAGCTGTTAGCAACAACAATGCATTATTGTTCTTGCACTCCATAAGCCCTCTGTCTGTCTTCAGAAGAGGTCACTTTTTTTTCACTTAAAAATTTCCTTAAAATAAGAGAGAAACTATTGATGACTGTTTCCCTGAGAGAAGGAGGGGTGGCGAGGGAGGAAGACTTTTTTTTTCTCTCGCGTCTTTTCTTGTTTTTCATAAGCATGACACTAACCTGCTCAGGCCTTTGTCTGGTGACGGATACCCCACTGCAGCCTGGGAGCCTGAGCTACTTTATCTGAGGAGCCGGGATGGTGCTGGCTCTGCCCCTCTTTCCTCCTGAGTGTCCACACAAAAGAGTCATCAGGTGACTAATTAACTTCAAGTTAATGACCACGAACTGGCTGGATGCCATGTAAATGTGCTGATAATCTGTTATGAGGGACCTCAATAGGCAGCATACTTAAAAAAAAAATTGCAAATCCCTTTATTAAAAAACGAAAGCAAAGAAACTAACTTTCTTATTAGGAAAACAGGCTCAGAGCAGACAGACCTGGGACAGAGGGTCTGAGTGTCCCCTCTGGTTTGCTCTCCTTCCATTTAAATAAGTGGCTTTTGTTCTTTTGGTTTTTCAACACCTAAATTAGAGTTACATTCAAACGTTTGCTGGATCTTTAGAGGTATTTCTTTGGGGAGGAGAGGTGATGATGCTGATTTGTCAGAAAGATCAGATCACTTATGAAGAGCATTATGGAGTATCTGGAAGTTTCCTATGCAGATAGCTCACTTCTCAAACACTAGAAAGAAGCATGAGAACCAGGAAAATTAGCTTTACAATATGCTCTGAGAGTCTAAAAATGATCAGGACATGCCCAAAGGTAGTAAGGAAGGACAGCAGAGAGAAATTTAACATATGGCACTCTTCTTCTTTTGTTTCTCTTTTTGGTTTTTATGGGAATTCTTTGTGGGGCAACTCTCAGTATATTCGCTCCGGTCAACATCTGTATCCCTTTAACTCAGTGACCTAAGAAGCAGTAGAGAGATGTGGATGCTCAGAAAAGCACTGGAGTGGCATTAGTGAGCAGGGAGAAAAGAAATTTTGCAGGCCCAGGGATTTCTGAAAGTCATTTAAAATCCAGACATAGAATGTTTAAATTTGCTCCTTTTCCCTCCATTTCTTTAAGTCAATTTTCTCCTTCCACTAATTAATTATGAAAAAAACAGTGGTCATTATATCTATATCTATACATCTATATCTAAATCTATTCATCTGTCCATACTTTATACAGTTCTGCTTGGTAACTCTTTGGGGGAGGGTGGAAGATAAATGTGGGTAGAATAAACCTCACCTTTTCTCCTCGCTCTCCAGGTTCTCCCTGGAGGAGAATAAAAGAACAAAGATTGAGTGACATATTAAATTGTAAAACACCCAATTAAGCAATACCAAACAAAATCAGATATTGAACATAGTTGATAAATCATATGTGACCCTTTTGGGGGGCAATATATAGTAGCTACATGAAAACAAATGGTAATATGAGTTTCCGGGAGAATTGGGTATGGATATCAATATAAAATAAAAATCTTAATTCTTTGCTTTTAGAGGACTAAAGAAAGATATTTAAGATTATCATCCTTAAACTGGGCTCTAAGGAGAACAGTGTGGTGGCAATTTAATACTTGGGCAGTTTTTTAGTCTAGGACTTTGTATTCTGCCCAAACTCAGAATCAGTAAGGTGGGTGAGCACATCCTTGCATGAAGTCTTTATTCAAAGCAGCCCCTGGTACATGGGCTATTTCAGGGTTTCAGAGTCCCCGTGTAGTTCTGTCTTCTCCTATAAATTTTGCAGGCCCAGGGATTTCTGAAAGTCATTTAAAATCCAGACATAGAATGTTTAAATTTGCTCCTTTTCCCTCCATTTCTTTAAGCCCTTTAAAAATTTCTTTCTATACATACGAATTACACAATTTTCTCCTTCCACTAATTAATTATGAAAAAAACAGTGGTCATTATATCTATATCTATCTATACATCTATATCTAAATGTATTTATCTGTCCATACTTTATACAGTTCTGCTTGGTACCTCTTTGGGGGAGGGGGGAAGATAAATGTGGGTAGAATAAACCTCACCTTTTCTCCTCGCTCTCCAGGTTCTCCCTGGAGGAGAATAAAAGAACAAAGATTGAGTGACATATTAAATTGTAAAACACCCAATTAAGCAATACCAAACAAAATCAGATATTGAACATAGTTGATAAATCATATGTGACCCTTTTGGGGGGCAATATATAGTAGCTACATGAAAACAAATGGTAATATGAGTTTCCGGGAGAATTGGGTATGGATATCAATATAAAATAAAAATCTTAATTCTTTGCTTTTAGAGGACTAAAGAAAGATATTTAAGATTATCATCCTTAAACTGGGCTCTAAGGAGAACAGTGTGGTGGCAATTTAATGTCTTGGGCAGTTTTTTAGTCCAGGACTTTGTATTCTGCCCAAACTCAGCATCAGTAAGGTGGGTGAGCACATCCTTGCACGAAGTCTTTATTCAAAGCAGCCCCTGGTACATGGACTATTTCAGGGATTCAGAGTCCCCGTGTAGTTCTGTCTTCTCCTATCATGACCATAAACACAGTCCTGAACTTGGACCCCTTCACAATGCCGTGAACTCTCTTTACCCTACCGGTAACCAGCATGTTCCAAGTCAGGTGTACTTTGGGAGGCACTGGTACCGTCAGGAAAAACACCAGGCTGGCAGAATCAAAGTGAGTTTAGGAGAATGTCTTTACTCAGAATGATGACCCTGTCACTATGCGGACTAAAGTGAAAAACCGTGCTCTGCAGAGTATCTCATTTTCCCTTTACCTGGGAAGGGACACGGGATGGCGTGGGAGAGTTCTAAAGTAAATGATACACTTTATGAGAATATTTCCTTCACAAAATGTGTAAGTGCTGCCATGAGATCAACTGCTTTGAAAATGGTTTAAGGTGATTATTGCGTTTTTAAAAATTATAACCCACTCTAGAAGTCAGTTTGGAGTCAAGATTATTTTCACTCACTGGAAGTCAGCCTGACCCTTTGGCTTTCTGAATTTCTGACTACCTTTCAGCGCTCACCATCCATCGAGGGTTGCTAGGCAACAGAAGAATAGCACTGAGAACAGGCCTTGAGCATTAACTCCTGCCATTTGGCTCTTTAGCACGGAACAAGAGAGGGAACAGACCAGGAGAATGGCCGTAGAGCCAGAAGAAATATCTTCTTTCCTCTTTTACAGGACAAAGGACAGGTCTACAGGTTTTCGGTCCATCCTAAGTGCCTGTCAATAGCAATGTGATCTGTAAAATCAGCTGACAGGCATCTGTGAGTATGGATAAACACCAGCACAGCTGACAGGATTAGACGTTAGTTTTGTACTTCAAGGGATGTTCACTCATCAAAGGATTTGGGATTTGTCTGCCTGTTTGGTTTAAACTAAACTGTCACCAATCTTTTTATATTTAACAGATTCATTTGTTCTTCAAGAAACAAAGAAAACTTGCAATCCAAAAAAAATAATCTTCATTACATTTTTTCCCTCTTTAGTAATTGACTACATCCATTTTTAAATTTTAAACATGCCACGTCTTTATTCTGCTCTTCATTCGATTAACTGGTTCTGTTGTGTAAGTGCTAGAGGCCGCCAAATCTTGAGCAAAAGCCACAGCGGCACTGAGAACAGCATCTTTAGTAAGTTGTGTAACTAGTATACACATTTTAGGCAGTATGGACATGGCCTGTGTTTGAATATGCTCATATTAAGTGTCAAATGACAACAGTCATATTTGAAACATGGACTTTCTCATGTTAAGTGTCCTAGAATATAGGTTTTAGATGATTTTATCTTGCATTTGTAATGCTAACAAGAATCACAAGCATAATTTATTCATTAGTCACAAAGTTCTGTACTATAGCATATTACACTATTGACAAAAAACAACAATAACAAATAGGTAAAACCAGTGGGATATTAAAAAAATTGTTTTACAATTTCATGATAACTCATGTCTCAAATAATTTTACTTAAGTTTGATTTGTACTGACCTTTGGCCCTGGTATTCCGTTCTGTCCCACTGCTCCAGGCAACCCGGGCTCACCCTTAAAATAAAAAATAGGCATTACTAAATAAAATAGACAAAATCAGCACATTATATAAATCATTGGAAGATATGGTCATCTAAGCATAGATAGAAAGTAAGTGTCTACCAGTTTAAATTCAAGTTAGTTTATTTGGTCCCCAAAAAAGTGCTAAGCACCAAAGATAAAACTGGGCTAATTTTTTTTTGTTCAGTCTTTTCTCCATTAAGAAAGCAAAAGCAATTTATCAATGTGAAATGAGCATCTACCATGGTACTGGGTACATTGTAGGCAACAAATAAGTATTTGTTGCATGAGTAAAAGACATCTGAAAACATAAGACTTTTAAGTGATTGGTCAGTTCAGGAAAATATAGACTAAATCATTATACAATTAGACTTAATCAAATGAGCATTTCCAAATCTAAAGCGTGAAGAACAGACACATCTACTTAATTCATTTAGACACATTTGATACAAAAGTAAAAAGTGAAAATGGCTTTGTTTTCTCTTTCCAACTTCGCTGTAAAAATAATTCGAATAAAACATTCAGACGTATGGCTCTCGTCACATTGAATGATAGGAATTTGGGGGAAAGATGATGGCTATTATGCTAGAAAGCATTCCATTTCAGAAAGATGATGATGCATCCCAGTCTTTTTAGATGCTGAGCCAGCAAATGTTTACCAAGGAGGAGAAGTGCCTTGAAAAGCCCGAAGCAAAGGAGAGAGACTCTGGCTCCCAGGGCTTCCATGTGGCTCCAACTTAGAGCAACTAGAATTTCATTTTCATTTGAAAACCTTTCCAAAGCCCTTGATTATGTGCTCCAATGACTGGACCACTTTCTTCTTCCACTGAGGGTTGTAAAGTTGCTTCTTAGTTAATTAAAAAAAAAAAAACAAATGTCATTCTTAGATTAGTTTTAGTTTCACAGCAAATTTAGTTGATTTTTAAGCATGTTTTGTAAGTCACCTGGGGGGGCAGGGATTGTGCCATTTTAATATTGGTGCTCTCAGCAAAAATACATATGAACATATACATATATGAAAATACGTACATTAATGATCATAATAGTAGTAACATTTAAGTGCCAGGAACGTTACATTCACTAACTCTATTATCACAAATTTCTACGAGGTAAGTACTATCTTTATCCCTACCTATCAGATGAACAAAGTGAAGCACAGAAAGGTTAAATAATTTTTTCAGATTTACACAACTACAGCCAAGGTTTGAACTCTCATGATCTGGCATAAGAGACTGTGCTCTTAACAATATGATGCACTGCTGAATGAGTGAATGCATCCACAGGTCTGGAGAAGAGTAGGTGATGAGTATTCTATCCCCATTATCAGTCGGTTTATACTTCTCATTTATAAATGCCCTTTCAGAATGTATAGAAACCTGAATTAAATATTACGTATAAAGGTGATTTATGTACATCTATCAGATAAACTAAGCAATGTGAAGCTTATAGTATCTTTCTAGAAAAGAAAAACATGTTTTACTATTATACTGGATTATTATAATTGTGAAAGTCTTAACTTCATGGAAGAAATTCTGCTTCCTATATCAAGTTACACTATAATCATAACTCTTGCACTTTCCTTACTAAAATGGCAAACTGCTATCTTGGAATAACGCTGGCCATTATAGGAAAATTTTGATAGACCATTTGTAAATTAAAAGGGTAAGAACTTGGAAATAGAATCCACTCCGAAAGAGGACTATCATTTTACTGTGCAACCAGAAAAAGAGCTATCCAGTCTGCTTTCTTCAAAGACTACAACAGGATGCGCTAATGTCCAAACACATGGTTGAATGCAAACAATAAATGCTACCAGGGAACAATACAAACTTTATTTAGACTTTCAAAGAATAAGCATGGTAGTAGTAATAATAATAATAATAATAATAAATAAATGGTCAAGCCCAGCATAAGTTGTGTAAATAGTATGCAAAATTTAGGCAGTACAAACATGGCCTGTGTTTTAATATACTCATGATAAATGTCAAATGACAACAGTCATATTTGAAACTTGGACATTCTCATGTTATTTAAGTGTCCCAGAATATAGGTTTTAGACAATCACATCCTGCATTTGTACTGCTAACAAGAATCACAAACATAATTTATTCACCAGTCACAAAGTTCTGTACTGTAGCTTATTACTAGTATACTATTGACAAAAAAAGCAATTATTTCCAGTGGGATATTTAAAAAATTGTAATAGTTTAAAATTTCATAAAAACACATGTCTCAAATGATTCCACTTGGTTTTACTTGTACTAACCTTTGGTCCTGGTATTCTGGACAAAATATATGCTGAGATTTTGAAGCAAGGAAGAGAAACATTGCTTAGGTATCTACATAACATCTACCTTAATATATGGACATTGAGGGACTAAAACTTGATCCCTTTTTTTATAGATTTTATACATTTTAAAAATAATATTTTAACATAAAAGGAAACAAATAAAAACTGCACCCATGATCCCATAACCCTATAATAATCATTTTCATTTTGTCCTGTTTCCTTCTAGTCTTTTTTTTTTTATGTATGCTTACATATTTTTAAGCAATTGTCAGCTGATTACATAGTCTGACCTGTTTTTTATTATTATTTTACTAGAGGCCCTGTGCATGAAATCTGTGCATGGGTAGGGTCCCTAGGTCTGGCCAGTGATCAGGGCCAATTGGGGCCTTCCAGCTGCTGGCCAGAGCTTCCCTTCCCCAGCTGCCAGCTGCTGGCTGGGGCCATCCTTCATTCCACGCCATGCCCTGGTGGTCAGCACACATCATAGCAAGCAATCAAACTCATTATCTCCCAATTGAACTCCTGAGGAGACAATTTGCATATTAGGCTTTTATATGTATAGAATATAGATATCACACATTTGTTTTCACACACTATTCATGATTGTCTTGTGAATAGTTGAATTATCATTTACCAAAGTTAGGTTTGAACCTGTTTAATCTGTCCCAAATTGTTGAATACTTAGGTAATTTCCTTTTTTTTTGCTATCCTATATAATAGAGAGGTAATATGCAAATTGACCATCACACCCTCACACAAGATGGCTGGCAGGGGAGGGCAGTTGTGGGCAATCAGGCCAGCAGGGGAGGGTAGTTGGGGGCAACCAGGCCAGCAGGGGAGTGGAGTTAGGGGTGACCAGGCCAGCAAGGGAGGGCAGTTAGGGGTGACCAGGCTGGCAGGGGAGGGCAGTTGGGGCGACCAGGCCGGCAAGGGAGGGCAGTTGGGGGTGATCGGGCCAGCAGAGGAGCAGTTAGGCATCGATCAGGCTGGCAGGGGGTGGTTAGGGAGTGATCAGGCTGATAGGCAGAAGCGGTTAGGAGCAATCAGGCAGGCAGGCAGGCGAGCAGTTGGGAGCCAGCAGTCCTGGATTGTGAGAGGGATGTCAGACTGCCCATAGGGATCAGGCCTAAACCGGCAGTCGGACATCCCCTGAGGGGTCCCAGATTGGAGAGGGTGCAGGCTGGGCTGAGGGACCCTTCCCCCAGTGCATGAATTTCGTGCACCAGGCTTCTAGTTAAACATAAACTAAAAAAAACACCTCTGCAAATATTTCTTAATTGCTTTCCAAAAAGGTTCTGAGTTTTATCTGCATATATAGGCACCCACTCTGTTACTTTTCCACAATTTCATCAGCACTGGCTATCACAATTTTAATAATTTTTGGCTATTTTAATAAGCACAGAAGAGTTACTGTTGCTCAGTTTTGCATTTATCACTTGTAAGGTTAAATATTTTCCATGTGTTTATAATTTAAATACATATCTCATAAAATTTTAAAGCTAAAAATTGAATAAGCTTTTCCTAAGTGAATCAAAAGAAAATGAAATGAAGGAAAAAAATGACTCAAAGAACTTCACCTTTTAAATAAATTATATCAAGAAAAATATATGCAAACTTAGATTAGGAGGTTTTGGAGCATTCTGTTGTTATCCAAACTTAGTTTCTTGGGTTGTGAGAAAGAAATGTTAAAGATAAAATGCTGTACAACTTTGCATACCAAGGTTAGGTTACGGGGTACTGGAAGGCATTAATTCAGTGATGATGAACCTTTTGAGCTCGGCGTGTCAGCATTTTGAAAAATCCTATCTTAACTCTGGTGCTGTGTCACATATAGAAATTTTTTGATATTTGCAATCATAGTAAAACAAAGACTTATATTTTTGATATTTATTTTATATATTTAAATGCCATTTAACAAAGAAAAATCAACCAAAAAAATGAGTTCGTGTGTCACCTCTGACACGCGTGTCATAGGTTCGCCATCACTACATTAATTCATTCAACTAACACTGAATTTAGTGAAAATTTATTTTATGCACTACTCTGGGCTTTTTCATGGTATATAAAGATGAAATAGATGTGGCAAATGTCTGTGTCTAAAGAGCTTATTTTTGAGTGAGAAAATATATATACAAAAATAGCTTGGGGCATCTAATTGAAGTAATAGATTGTTTTTTAAAATGTATTTTATTGATTTTTTTAGAAAGGGAGGAAGGAAGAAGAATAGAGAGATAAAAAATATCAATACATCGGTTGCTTCCTGCATGACCCCCACTGGGGATCAAGCCTGCAACCCTGGCATGTGCCCTGATTGGGAATTGAACTGGTGGCCCCATGGTTCCTGGGTTGATGCTCAACCACTGAGCTATACTGGTCAGGTGATAGACTATTTTTTTAAGCAAAGTTTTCTTAGACTTCATGAAGTAAAGAGGCACAATAAATATAAATCAAAGGTACGTCTTAATGAAGAATGAACCATATGTCATATATGGTGTTCATGTTTTCTGATATGAGTACAAAATATAATTATCATGAAGCTTCTTCAAATAAAGTTATAATAATATTCTATTGTTACATAATGTAGTAAAAATGTACACATTCAGAGAAATATATCAGAAAAGACAGACCAAAGAAAAGAGAGACAGTATCATTTGTTGGTACTATCCATTTTTTTTCTGAATGCATTTCACATTCACACATTCTG